TTTAGACGAATTGTTGACAGGGTCAGTATTTGCAATAGTGGCAGGATAGATTTATCCTATTTGGAAATGGAGATGAGGTCGGTCCTGTCGCGATCGTACAAATCGAACGCATCGCGGAGCTTGGCGGCATCACCGTGCGGCGATTCTGAGCTTGCTATTCTTAGCACACACGGAGAGAGATAGAGAGAGGCGGTAGAGAGATTGTCATGCTCAATTAGTTAGCTCGTGCTGATAACGTGTATATTTTGCAATTCATAGAACAGTGAGGATGCTTGTATATTTTGTTAAACGTTTAACAATTTCAAGAAAGTAGGTGAACATTAACTGAGTTGTCAGTTTTTAAAAATCAAATTTAAATTTTGAACTCCAAATTTCAAATTTCAAAAAAAGATGAGTTGTGTCCCAATAAAAATGAGAACAGATCTGCACCATTGATTTTAGGTAGCAAATCGTGGCCCTCAATTTTGAGTCCAGATTATAATTTCTTTTCGAATTTTTTTATTCCCTGAATTACCAAAGAAGGAAACTTTTTGAATTGTGTAGTGTGAAAACAAACCTGAAAGTGAAGGAGAAGGAGACACGTGTCAGAAGTTGCCAAAGAATGGCTTTGTCTTAGAATATAAGATTCTTGATATTGCAAATGGATTAATTTAAATTTGCTGATCAGAAAAACCTAAACTATATATTCATGTTGATAAATTAATCAAAAAAAAAAAACCGACATTGGCTTAGACAAACATTTTTAAATTTAAATAAAATTTTAAGAATATTATTAAAAATAATATTTTATTAAAGGAAAATTTGATTTCAACCTTACTCGTATATGAGATATGAAAATATATGCTTTCATATTTTATTTTAAAATAAGGAAAAAATATTTCAATTTTTGCTGTAGATATTTTTTTTCTATTACACTCACTTAAAGTGAACAAGTCCATTGTAAAGAGAAGAAAAAAAAACTAATAAGATCCACTTATTTTTACGTGAGTGTGATAGAGTAATGTTTTTTCTATAGCAAAAATAAAATCATTGAACCCTTAAAATAAAGAATATAATTTTATGTCATTTTAGATAAAATTAATGTGTTTTTTGATTTTTTACCTTTTCTCTCCTCCACAATATTATTTCTATTTCTCTCCTCTTAATATTGTGGAGAATAGAAAATATATAAAATCACCAAATATGAGACTAAGTTTTCTAAGAAATGAAGTGATTTTGAGGAAAGAAAAAAAAATTCGTAAATGAATTTGTAGTAAGGTAAGAGTCGAGTCTTTGAGTACTATTTCTTAGTACCAATATTAATTCCTATTACCAATACAAAAAATTCTCTATCATATAAACAATCTAGATGTTGATGGCGGATTCAAATCTAATAATAGGATTCAGATTTCTTAATGGAAAAAAGGAAAATTATGAAAGGGTCGGGATTTTTCTTGTCTATCAAAAAAATCTCCGTACCATATTGGAATCGAAGATTCATGCTCTAAGACTTATCTGATTCTATAAATTCTTAAAATGTTTTCTTTATTTTAATATGATTATATCCTAAAAAAATCTTAATTATTTAATAAGCAAAAAATATTTATCCTTTTAAAAGATACAACTTTGTGTCATTTTAGATCCAAATCGTTGATTTCCGTCAATTAACGGTTAGGATTTATTGAGTTTTATTGTGAATTACTAATTAATTAATAAATTTGACCGAGTAAATCCTAATCCTTGATTGACGAAAATCAACCGTTAGAATCTAAGATGACACAAAGTTATATTCTTTAAAATGACAAATATTTCCCCATTTAATAATTAAACTAAGGGTTCTCTTTTTATGCAGTTACTGCATATAAGTTATCTGCAGTAAGCCCAATACGACGTCATTTTAGAATAAAAATTATGGTGTTTTTGTAATTTTAATATATTTTAAGGTTATTATAGTCTTTCTAATTATAATTTTTTAATCTTTCAATCTCAAAACGACGTCGTTTTGAAAGTAAATGCAAATAACTTATTTGCGTTAACTGCAGAAATATTGTTCTGTTAAACTAATTAGTTTCTCGTTTTTGTGTTAAAAAAATTATTATTAAAGTTATGACAGCTAATATGCCCGTGAATAAATAAAATTTTGCATACATTATTATTATTTTAAAATGAAGTATGAAACATAAGGAATTCATTCCCAAAAGAAATATTTAAAAAATATTTTTTAAGATGTATTTATATTCTTCAAATTAAAATAATTTGAATCTATAATCACAACTAGGGGTGGTAAACGAATCAGGGGCCTCTGACTAGGCTCGTGAAGGCCTAAACTTATATGTCTAAAATTGGTTGTTGGAACAAGGCTTGAACTTTGTAAAAAAGCTCATTTAATAAAAAAAGTTTCAGGCTCCAATTCAAAAGTTCGGCCTTATAACCTCTCAAGCTGGCCTAGTATATTTATTTTTTTATATTTTTTATACTACTTGTAACTCTCTCCTCAATCCATTTATCCAATTTTATTGGTTAAACAAACTTTTTGAATGAGTTTGTTCTATATTATACTGTTTGGATATACATTGAATTTATAAATATTTATGGAATTACTAGTGTTGTTGATTGTATATTTTGTTTGGATAAATTTTTGTTGTCTTATTTTTTTAAAACAGGCTAAATCAGGCTTTTATTTTTTGTAAATAAGTCAGACCACATGCCAATAATTATATTCATAATAGGTAACAGGTTTAGTCAGACTGACACATTTAAACACGGGATTAAACTTTTAAGACCAAAGCTCGACTCGGCTCGGCCCGTTAACACCCCTAATCACAACCTATGCTTCAAAATTATCATTTGGGGAATTGGGATTTCAAAGACTTAGAAAAAAGAGAGGAAAAAACTCTTTTTATCCTCCATATTTATTTGATATTTAAGGAATAATAAAAGTATAATAATATACAAGTTTAACATTTCTCATATCACTATCACATAAGATAATTTATTTTCTACAATTCAAAATGATATGATTTTAACATCGGGAAAAAATATGTCGTAATTCTGATTTGTTTTGGGATTATATTAGTTTTAATTTTTACAAATTTTTCCTTAACCCAAAATAATATTGTTTTGGAGTAAAAAACATTTAATCATGATTTATTAAAAAAAAACAAGGTTTTTCTTTTTCAATTTGACAACTAGAATAAACTAACAACTCTTTTAATAAATAAAAATAAACTAACAATTAGCATTATGCTTCTAGAAAAATATTCTTCAATCATTAGTCCTTAATTAAAATTGTATTAAACAAATGGTGAAAAGTTTGACTAGAAGATCAAATTGATTAAAAAAAAGTCTTAGTATTAATTTGATCTTTAATCACTATATTATCAAGTAAGTGTTATTATAAACTATCACTAAAGTTATGATAATGCTTTGATTTTAAGGGCCTCTTTGGTGTTTAAGATAGAGAGGACATGATAAAATATGTTATCTTATAATTATTTGGTGAACCAACATGATATTATAAGCTTATTATATTAACTCATTTTATCCTGCCCTCATTATGATAAACTATCATGAGGGAAGACTTAAGTTATAAATGAATAGGATAAGATAGAAAATATCACATTCTCTCACTCAAAATATAGCCATATGCTCTTCTCTTATAAACTTTGCTAGGTACGAGAGGTCAACCCTTGCCACAAGCCCACAACCAGTCGCCACTATCATTGCTATAGCCATTCATCGGCCATCTTTTCCACCCACTACTGCCTCCACCGACCATCCACCAATCACCACCATCGTTGTTGATCATCACTATAAGCTAGTCAACACCACTGTCACTAGCTACCACCATCATTAACCACTAGGCATTAATCACCACTGCCACACTAGCCGCCGCTGCCACCACCACCGATCAGCTCCTACAATTGACATCTATCATCCTCCATACAGCCACCGCCACTTCCATTGGCCACACCCACCTACCATCAGCACAATAACCACCACCACAACTGTTGTCGCCACTATTGGCCAGCGCCACCACTACTTCCATCAACCATCCCCACCTGCCATCATCGCACCAATTGCCGCCGCAACCAACACCATCATCTATTAACCACCATTATTGTTACTAGCGCCATCACCATCACCCATTGCAATCAGCCCCCATAATCGTCGCTGCCACCATTTCAACTGCCATCTACTACACTAGCTGCCATCCACTACTATCCATTGTCATTAGCCACCAAACACCAACATCAATAATTAATTTAAAACCTAATTTTTTAAAATTTATTTGGTAAGAATTAATTTTTTTGTTTTAGTTTTGTAATTTATTTATATATTTTAATCTATTTTATTTAATTTTTTTTAATAATTTAAAATAAGAATTAAAGTGAAAATAAAAAAAATAATTTAAAATCAATTTTAAAAAATTATATAAAACTAGGATAAAAAAGAATTTTTTTTGTCAATTTATATCATATAATCCATTATAATTCGCCTCAACACTCCTACACAATCCTCTAATCTTATGCATTCTTAATTTGTCCAACAAACGGACCCTATAAGGATAACTTTTTTTACTTTCATAAAAAATTAATCATGAACTTTTTAAATTATAACGTTACTCCTTCCTTATTAAACGACTTTTAACAATTCAAGAGTTGACACATTATGAGTTATGAATTATATTATAATTTTAATAATCAAACTAGCAAAGTACCACATTTCGTTATAACAGTTGGCCCTATACAAATTATAAAATTTATTATACCAATGTGTTGAAGGCATACTGTGTTTGCATCTGCTTCATACTTAATGCCTTCATTAAGGCTTGTGGTATTGCCACGATCACGAAATTAGGCAATTCTGAGACAGAGTACCTATTTCCCTAAAAAAAACATTTAAAATGGATGTTCCAAATATACTTGCATCAAGACAATTCTGGAGGCGTATTTATCTTGCATTATCGTATAATATAGCTGCAAGCATAAATTTCTATATCCAACATGATATTGCATTCTTCCATGCCCAAGTAGGTTAAACGGATAATGCTTTGTAAATTTGACGTTTAGCAAAATGGTTTTGTTAGTGTGCCTTTTTATATGATACTGCCACGATTGGGGGAATATGCAGATTATTAAACGATCAATGCCAAACTAGGCAGACCACCTACAGTTACAAAACCGAAGTGCTGATGGCATGGCATAGCGAAAACAGTTTAAAAATAAAAATAGTACGTGGTGTATCCATAAACAAAATACCACTTCAAATCAGCTTAGTAATCATCACCCTTCGATATAACTTCTTTGCATGTTGGTCGGAGTAGGATTGTATGTTCAAACTGTGAGACATAGCTTCCTTTCACGTCACATAGAGGAGGATAAGACTGCAAGGAGGAGGAAAGAATAGAGGAGAAATTAATCCTTCACAAGCATCATTTCAAACAGTGAACTTGAAAGTAAGAGAACAAGAGGAATGCTAAATTAAAGATAAAAGCTTACATCTAACTTTGATGTAAAACATGAAGAATAACCTAAGAAGCATGAATACACCATTTTGGTGCTGTGTTGAGTATCGGACATGTGTGTCTAACACAAATACTTGTACGACAACTAACATGTGCCAATGTGTCCAATTTACAAAAATTCAGCTGACAACTCAGACTTGGCCATTTAAAATTTGAAAAAAGATACACATATTTTTTCTCTTATATATACATGACTAGTTCTAATATGGCAAGTTTGTTTAAGAATTGTTTTGACAAATATCAATAGAAATGATGCTACATGCATTTTTGGGAGGGGCTTACAAAATAGCAATTATTGATCCATTATAAATGACATATTGTGTCACGTGCTTGTATCAGTATTATTGTCTATGCTTCATAGCGAAAACAGATGTAAAAACTAAATGTATAGTCCTAAAGGGACGTGTATGTCAAGTTTGTCAACCAAGTTAAAAGTTACTGGATGATAAGGTTTAGACAATAAATAGCTTAATCTATGTTCAAAAAATTTAAGGACAACATAAAATCTTGTTAACCAGAACTTCATGTCTGCATTGAAATGTAAGCTGCTAGCCATTTGGTGTAAAAATATTGGACTAGAACTAACGGAAGTCAAGCCAATGAAAGCTATCAATAATTAACACACAGGCTACAGTTCACAGCTACCAAACACTCTGAAAGACCATTTTTTTCACATTACAACATTTATTCAACTTTCTAATTTTTAAAAATCTTTATATCCACAAAATTTGTTGGTGTTTGTAATTCCTAAAACGTACCTGAACAATGCCAGAGTCACACAAGTTTTTCAATGCCATTAAGTATTTAGTCTCTCCTAGGCGATCTAAATACCGTCTACAAAAGGCCAACGTAGAGAAGTTCTTATTAATAGTTGCTAACAGTTGCTTAGCTCTAGGCAATCTCAGCGGGATATGACCAACGTCAAAATTTTTCATGTAGTGGCTGCACTCCAGGTCTTCTCGTACGTATCCTTTCCCTGAACATAACATTTAATGACCAATTCCATCATGCATTATAAAAGCCAATATAACAATGTCCAACACCGAAAAAACCTATTACCAGTTGATGCAAAGGTTTCAATAGCAAAAAATTCACCCTCTTCCATCTTTGTCTGTTCTCCTCCTTTCACAATTGGAACTGATTTTCCAGCATGGATTTGGTAGCGGCCTATGCTGTGTCCATTCAAATTCCTTATACTTTTGACTGCAATAATATTCCCATTGCAAAATATATCACTCTAATGATATATAGATTGTGATAAATGAAGATATGACAAAAGGTTTGGGCATAAATTGAGATGGTTTAGGCATCTTCTTGGAAGATCCCTAGATGCTCCAACAAGATAAGAAGTTTGCTACCAAGGGCCGAACACAAAGGAAGTGGTTGGCCAAAACTTGACTGGGAAAAAACAATAAAACAAGCCTTAATGGAGTAGGCAATAAATTGGCATACGGTTGTCTCAGGGCAAAGTGGAGGAAAGCCATGAATATTGGGGAAGGGTAGGCTCATAATTTCCTATGTTCCGGACGATCTTTTCTAGTTTTTTTTCCCTATATTTATTCGTATGTATGTATTTGTTTTTAATTTTATTTTTTATCTTTATTTTTTTCCCTTTAATCTTTTCTTACTTTCTATTTGGGTTCATCAACCATGGATCCTAATTAATTTGGAAAAAGGGTGATATTGATGTTGAATATGCATACAAATATCATAAATTATAAGATGGGTAGGAAAATAATTCTTTAGCCGTTTTCACTTCTCTCAAGCCTATATATTGACAAAATCAAGGCGTTAATAGCTATGAACATCCCAATTTCATTTGATGACAATGAGATGTAAATTTTATATTTGTTCCATTCCTAAAATTCAATGTATGCATACAAATATAGATGGAGAGATTTATGAAGCAAATAAAATTAACAAAATAAATCAGCATAAACATCCCAACAACCATCATACCTTGGTACACCTTCCCATTAATCTCAACCTCATAAGACTCCATGACCTCTTGAATGGCGGCACCAACATCACAAAGCCGCACATCGATTCCAGCTTCCTGGACAGTAAGCCACAACATTTTGGAGGAACCAGCAAATTACAACATGATCTAAGTGGTGCATAACCAAAACATCACTGCTCCCAGAACAATAAAAAAAACTTGTTTGTTCATTATTTCAGATCAATAAAACTTTTATGATAAACCCACGCATATATAAAGACATAAACGTATGTGAACACAAAAAACATAAACACAGATAAAGGAGCTATATTGCAAACACACGAGTCATTTCTACTGTTAACATCAAGTAAGATAGAAAGACTGTACAATGTCAAAGACCCCTCTAATTCTTTGAATCCAACAAACAACATTATTTTTTCTTTTTATATTTGGATAGAAATAAAATTTTGCTAGAGAAAAAAGGCCAAGTACAGCTACATAGAAGATAAGATATTTTCCAAACAGATAAAAAAATAAAGAAACACATCAACATCAATACTATCAACACCTTTATCCCAAACTAGTTGGAGATGAACCCAGATTAAAAGTACAAAAAGATTGAGGGAAAAAGTATAAAAATAAAATTTAAAAAATATATATTTTACATTATCCATTAAAAAAAATAGCAAAATACAATTACAAGGAAAAATAAATTAACCTACAGTGAAAATAAAGATACATAATAGGACAAAAAGAATGAAAAAAAATAAAGAAAAATGAATTCAAATCAAGAATAATCTCCTAGGACCTTAGAAATGGCATCTCACTCGAACCAGCCACGCACTGAACACCACAGAGCCATAAAAATAATACTATCATATGACAAGTTCAAGGGCAAAGACACATATAACATCCACGTGTATATCGATTTAGAATCTTTGGGGCAGAATTGCAATTTCCGAAAATATAGGGGCAGAAGCGTAAATAATAAGAACTGGAGGACTGAAGTGAATTTTAAAAAAATTCTTAAGCCATGATCAAGTGTGAGGTTCATCATGACAATATACACACAAGCTTTTATCAGCCGTTTGATAAAAAAATCCATGGATGCATGCGAGGGTGCATCATCAATACTATACTTTTGCGTGTATTCAAGTTATGTGTGTGAGAGAGAGAGAGAGAGAGAGAAAATGTGATCTTAGATCTGAATCAGTAATGTATATTGTAAAAACTGAATAACAAGATACAGTGTGCTCAATATATAAAGCGGAGAATGTTGACTCAACAGCTGAGTCAGATGAAGCTAACTAACAAACTTATAACAGCACTATAACAGATTAATGGGGGGAATCTATACATGCAAGCTTATGATAAATTGCTGTGACAGTAATACAAGACTACAAGAACCCTAAGTTTGGTTCGCAACTCAGCAAAACAACTAGGGGGGAGAGCCTTGTTAAGTGTGTCTACAGGCTTATCAGAAGCAGGAATGAGATACAATGAGATCTTGAGCAAGCACCCTCTCCCGGACAAAAAATATATCTAATTCCATGCGTTTGGTTCTGGCATGCAATACATGATTGTGAAAAAGAGCAATGGTGCTCAGGTTATAAGGAAGGACCTGCAACTCACGGAGAAGGGAATGTATCCGCAGAATCTCAACACAAGTGAGGGACACAGGTTATAAGGAAGGACCTGTCAAACTAGGCCCTAGGTGCCTGTTTTAGCCCATATACGGTTTTGTGGAGCTTACACACCAAGCTTTTATCTGAACGTTCAAAACCAGGGCGCAAACTCATATAAACAACCTCTTGTAAATCCCCATTTCGAAAGGCATTGTTTATGTCAAGCTGTCTAATGGTCCAAGCATGTGTAAGAGCTAATGTGAGCATAATCTGAATTGTGACAGGTCCGACCACGGGTGAGAAAGTTTCATTATAGTTAAAACCTGCTTGTTGATGAAACCCCTTGGTCACAACACATGCCTTGCACTTATTAATCGTGCCATCAGGGTTCTCCTTCACTTTAAAAACCCACTTGCACCCAATAGCTTTCTTGTTAGGAGGCAAAGACACATGAGTCCATGTATTGTTAGTCATAAGAGCATTATATTCAAGTTTATTGAGGCTGAGAATAAGAGTATGTTGGTAGATCAGTAGAATTAGAAGAAGATTAAGGACTAGAAGTTGAAGAAAAGGGACTAGAATGTGATTGCAATGATGTTGTAGGAACAATATTGAGAGAGGGAGAATCAATATGATGATCAGATTGTAAAGGAGGAAAGGAAGACAGAGACTGATGTTGAGTAGAGGAAGAAGCAGGAATATTTGTAAAGAGATTAGACTGAGTTTGTGACAGAGACAAAGTTATCAAATGCGGATTGCGGCATGTCGCGGCCAATCCCGAAAAACGCTATAGCGGGTTGCGGTTGCAGAAATAGCAGAATAGATATATGACAAAAATAATGACCAAAAAAAACATTTTTTTAAAGGCAGAGATAGCTTAAGTGACCGAGAGAGACGCTAATAGACTAAAAAACCCTTAAAAATTTTCTGTTACACATTTAAATTTAGGACAAAATTGACATTTTGCCTTATGACAGCAATATGGCTGCGATTTGGCCACAAATGCGATCGCAATTGCCGCTATTGCGTTCCAGTGCGGTGTGGCGCAATTTCTTGCGGCGAGGCACCGTAACACCTATACGGCACCGCTCGCGGCGCTATTGCGGCGCAATTAACTACTATGGAAAGAGAACCTTGTAAGAGAAGAATCAACTAAAGGATAAGATAAGACAGGAAGTTGAGCTGGAACAGGTACCATAGGAATGGGATCAAACTTAGAATCAACCCAAGAAGGATAGGGATACTTGATTTCATTGACTAACACATCTTTTGAAATGTATGTCCTTCCTTCTTTATTCCAGCAGATATATCCCTTGTGGCTAGTTAAATCTGAACTCCTATTTGTGTGATTCACTCAAATCAGGAATCCTTCTACAAGTAAGATTGCCGACAGTACAAGAAGTAACAATCGGGAGGGTCTTAGTGGTCCACACAGTATTAGCGCTAATCTTCTAATCAAAAATCTTTCCACAAGTAAGATTGCCGAGAGTCCAGGAAGAAACAATTCAGAGTGTCTTAGGCAGTTGTCTTGGGCGAGGATAGGAAATCAAAATGGTTGTGTTTTAATTGTGATGAGAATTTTCATCCTGGTCATGTTTGTAAACATCGCCAATTGCAATTGTTGATTATGGGAGAAGAATTGGATGAAAAGGGCCAGAGAATTCAAACTGAAGACCTTGGCTAACTTTGAGAATACTTGGGAAGATCCAACAATTCTTACAATAAACTTTCTGGAATTTCACCTTCACCTCTAGGACAAGGTGAAAGCTTTAGGAGGGAGTATTGTTGGACAACCAAAACCTACTTAGGTTTATTACTTTATTTGAGGAGACAATAAAGGGGAAATAAACCATCTCAACTACTACCTTAAGGAAATGGGAAGGCGGCTATGAAATAACTGCTTGATAATGGAGGCAGAAGTTTCTGCAGAGTGGTTATAGCAGTTATGGGTCTATAAATATAAGTAGGAAACTGTAATTTGGGAGAGGAGGAACTAAGTCAAAAAGTTAGGAGAAAAAAGATAGAACATGCCTCTCGAATGCATGCTTTTGTAAATCTATGTACTGTAAAAATAACTCCCCGTTAAACCCGACTAGCGAGTGTGTGGTGGAGGCAATCCTTGTACGTAACCTTACCCTTACATAATTGCAAAGTTGCTATTTCCTGGATTCGTCATTGAATATATTTAGAAGATGTCTCAGAGATTTATGATTTAGAGGAATAATTCTAATTTAGTTTGTGTTACTGTTCTACTTCTATCTATTGTGTATTGAGTTTTCTATCCAGGTCAAAAAGAAGGAAAAGGAAAATGAGTAAATGATGCCTAGTTAAAGCTTTGATTGCAATGGAAGAATGGATTTAGGAAGGATCTTTGTCTAGATATTTGCTATGATGGAGCTATTACATGTGTAAAAGTCTATGCTTCTGCCATTTTGTGTAGTTAATTCAAGTAAACTTGTATGATCCGAAAAACTTATGATGTAATTAAGGATGGATGCAAGTGTTTTGCAAGAATGGATGGAGTGAAGTTTTTTGAACGTTTTACAGCATTTGCACCGAGAGTCCACTTGGATAAAGGATCTGGACTCTAAAAAAAAAAAAAATTAGAAGTACATGTAAAGATTTAGACTATTGCCTAATCTTTATATTTCAAGGGATATGAACTAATGGTTAGACATTCTGTAATCTTGTTTTAACTATACCATGAATTTGATAGACAACTATACTGAGTGAAGATGGGTAATGGGAATCAAATCTAGAACTGAAGAGGTTGTGAGATTAGAGTATTGTAAAAGGTAAATTCCACTGCATAATTGGTTCTGTCCATTGAATACTCCCTGGTAGGTATTTGAATCCTCTATTGTGATTAGTGGAGTATTCAAATACTTTTCAAGAAGTATCCGAATACTTCCCTATTCAGAATGAAAAATAATGAAATGGAAGCATAATCTGACCTGTTAAGGGTGATTACGGAAAACAGCTTGCTAAGTTAAGATGCTCTTGAGATAAGGAAGATGCTCTAACTCCTAATAAAATGGATTTAGGGCTGATTAAACATGTTCTGTACCGGAGTAAGTTGAAATACCTTCCTTATAATGAGTTGGAAAATTTGGCAGTAAGATTTGGATAATAATGGCCCTCCATAACGAAAATTACCATCGTTATTTTTATTTTTATTTTGAGATGGTTCCTTGAGCAGTTATGATTGTGCGTATGGTGTGTTATTAAGAATAGCGAATACCCCTGATGGCCTCTATGAACTGCATACTATTATCTTTGTAAGGAATTAATTTAGGCATTCAAATGATGTTATCACTGCACTTGAGAACATGAGATATAACATATCAGTGCACACAGGGCATTACAACACACCCTTAAAGATGCAAGCATTATGATTTATGACATTATTAATTGAACATATAGTGCAGCTACATGATGTGATACTCCTGTCTTGATGTGAATGAAAACCAACCTGCCATAGGATTAAGCATTTATCTAGAAGGTACCTTGATACCCGTATTGGTGGCTTCACGGGAAGCTTCAAGCAGAGGATCAAACATTGGGTTGAATGCCACCGTAAAAGCACAGTCAACAATATATCCTACACACAATATTCATGACAAGAGGTTAAACAGAGTAATATTAAAATAAATACCCCAATTACTAAAACTATTCCAATAATCCAATATTAGATAAAAAAAATTCCTCGATATTACCGTCTACATGGGTGCCAAAATCTAATTTCATCACATCATCATACTGAAGTATAGTCTTATCTCCCGAATTTGGGGTCCAGTGAGCAGCGACCCTGGAGGAAAAGAGTTTCATTTAAGAAAATAATTATAGGAAGAAACCACAAAACAACCACCAAAGCCTTTTCCCACACTAGGTGGGTTTGGTTACATGAATCAAACGATGCTTCTGTGTTATTTGAAAACCAAATCTTCGTAGAGGCCATTTAAATCTAAATCCTTTTTTAATGGTTTCACTAAGAGTTTTTTTTTCTTGGTCTCCTCTATGTCTAATTATTTGGCAATCCTTCATCTGATCAACTCTCTTAACTGAGGTTTCAATTGGTCTTCTACATGTCCAAACCATTTGAGGCACAGTACTATCATCCTTTCCTCAATAGTTGTCATTCCTACTGTAAAGAACCTTGGGATACACCACCCCAAAAGCTAGCTCAAAGGGTGGGAGTGCCCAAGGCCTTATAAACTCCACATTAGTTGCACATACAACCAATGTGGGACTATATATCTCAACACGCCCCCTCACACAAGAGCCCATTGGGCTTGAAGAGTGGACAATGCAACAGGCCCAGCCTACCTGTGCTAAGAAACGCCACAAGAGAAAGTGAGGGGGCGGCGAGGCTCTGATACCATGTAAAGAACCAATGTGGGACTATATAGTCCCACATTGGTTGTATGTGCAACTAATGTGGAGTTTATAAGGCCTTGGGCACTCCCACCCTTTGAGCTAGCTTTTGGGGTGGTGTATCCCAAGTTTCTTTACATGGTATCAGAGCCTCGCCGCCTCCCACTTTCTCTTGTGGTGTTTCTTAGCACAGGTAGGCTGGGCCTGTTGCATTGTCCACTCTTCAAGCCCAATGGGCTCTTGTGTGAGGGGGCGTGTTGAGATATATAGTCCCACATTAGTTGTATGTGCAACTAATGTGGCCTTTATAAGGCTTTGGGCACTCCCACCCTTAGAGCTAGCTTTTGGGGTGGTGTATCCCAAGGTTCTTTACACCTACTTTCCCTCTGATACATTCATTCATGATCTTGTTTTTTTCTTATATGACCACTCAACCAAAGCAACATTCTCATCTTTTCAACACTTATGCTCCTGCTGACCCTTTTATTGCCCAACATTTAGTACCATAAAGCAAGAAACCGCAACACATAAAAGAAAAATAGAACACCAAAGTATAGTGTGTTACCAATTTAAAGAGCATCCTGTGGGGAATGCAATGCCTGCTTGCAGGCCATCCTCTGATATTAGCTTACGAACAGTGTTCTCCAATGTTTCACATAAGTCAGTCATCAGCATTCCAGGCTTTAAAATGCTTCTTATATATTTGCGAACCTACTTAAACATAAATAAACTCAAGTATATACACTGCATAACTTTTATGACACCAAGCTTTATCAAAGCACAAATGTACTCTTCAACAACTCTTCATTTGAATGTAAAAGAAAAAGAGATGAAACAAATAGAGAGTTAAACACGAGGAAAATAAGACATTCTTTCCTCATGTAGAAATGTAACGGAAGTTCGAGGAATGCAAATGCCAAGACAACTAATTCCAAGTTTGATACTAACATTGAAACATATTACTAATATCTTTTAACCACTGTAAAATAGGTGATTTGATTTGCATTGAACCCAAATTTCTCTGAATGTTCTCTCCAAATTTTGGTTGAATGAAAAATAGGGGGTCAGACCCACATTAATTTTTCCTTCACTTTCCACTCTTCATTTCCTCCTGCCTATCCAAACAATGTAGTGATAATCTAGTTCAATTTTCTTTCCCCAATACTGGCCATCAAAACAAAGTGTTAATGCTGGAAAGTAACAACCAAAAACGCAACCTGACGATGAACTTCTGCTGCTCGACGAACTGAATTATATATAGGTTTCTGAAGGCGCTCCAGCTCTCTCTTCTCCTCTGATGTAGTTCTCCATAGGTTACTGGCATATAGATCCCAACATAAATACATAGATATTTGTAAATTTACACAGAATGTGGAAAAAAATAATGAGATATGGGAAAAGCAAAAAAATTAAAATAGAAGACAATAAATAAATAAATACATCAGTGGAAACATGAGACCCAAGTAGTTATTAATGGCGTTCGTCACTGCATGCGTTTCATTTAGGCACACCTTTGTTTGGCAAGTAAGTGGTAGGTCCACTCACATGTCTCTTTTGCAAAATGGAGTTGGTCGTTAAATCAATCTTCCAATAGAATGTTATACAACCCAAACACAATGGACAAAGGTTTCAAGGAAAATGAAACATAAATTGTATTGATTTAAGGTGAATCAATAATAACTCAGCCATTACAGTACATGATATTGACCCTACAATATGTGTGACAGAAACTGAAATAATGAAAGGAAAAATACAAGAGAAAATGAAAAGATAGTTTCTGCTTCTTTCCTTCATCTTGTTTTATCGAATTGTATCAGATTGCTTTCTTCTTTCATTTGGTTTCTGATGGAACCCAGAAAAATATAGCACTGATTTCATTAACAATGGAGGCATAGCCTCTTTTTACATACACTAATACAAAGATAAAATGTAGAAAATAAATCCCAAGAGACCTCAACTTCCCCTCACAGCCAACACACCTAGGCTACAAGAGTTCCCTAGAGGACCCCAAATTCTCCACTAACCAATTCTCAATTCATGCCTCCAGAAACCTTATCCTAAATATCTATATATACTAATCCTAACTAATGATAACCAATGGGCTTGGATATTTAGTGAAGGCCCATCAGTTCCATTCAGATTTGAGGTGGATCTCTACTATTTCCATTTCTCTCCAACATTCTTATAATTCTAGGAATTACATTTTTTTTTCCCAAAATCATAATGATACTTAAGCTTTGGAATCATAATCTCTTTGGGTGGAACCTATTTGCAGTCATAGTAGTTAATGGTGGAATGCAGCTTGGAACAGCCACATCCAAAAGCTAAAGCAGCATAGCAGGTCGCACTGCAGCCGTTACAGCGATGATATCAGCTACAATAAAAAGCTCAAAAAATTTGTAAAATACATAATTATGCTTAAATACATTATTGGACAAAACAAATATACCAAATATTTTTCTTATAGTCCCTCTGAAATTTGGACTTTGGTTTGTCTCCTTTTTTAAAAAAAAAAAAGCGAACACTTTTGATAAATGCCATTATCATAAATCTGTTAAGTGCTTACGTGTCAAACAGACTGCCAAACTTTGTCAAGTGTCTTACTGTCTTGTACCATCAACGTAAATATGCCAAATTTTAGTTTTAGTCCGTCTAAAATTAGGGCTTTGTTTTTTGTCTCCCTTTTATTAAAAAAAAAAAAAAAACTATTGGTTCTTGTTACATTCCAACTCCCTCAATCATCTTCTTTCCCCCTTTCTCTCTTCTGCAAACGTTCATGGACCTCTAAGTGAACATGAAGGGAGAGCCAGAGTCCACAATGGACCTGCCGTGGTTAGACACCAAGCAATAGCATAATCATTTGAGCCTACCTGCGATTGTATCAACTCTGGCCAGTGGTTGAACCCGACAGTTCCGGCAGGTTGATATACAAAAAAGTTGGCATTGGTTTGCAGTCTTGGCAGCGTGATTGGACATTGGACCGGAAATCCACCCAAATTTTGGGTTCTTAGAACCTGTGAACTTGGAAGAGGAGTTCTTGAGAATGAACTTGGGGATTTTGGTAGGGTTGTTGTTTGTGAAAGGAGTTACATTTGAAATATAGATAATGAAAGGAGCAAAAGCAGCATCCCAGGTCCTAAATCAAAAGGAAAATTTGTGGTGGAGTTCCTAATTTTAGGTCAATGGAATAGCCTCCATTGCATTTTGGCCTTGACATGGAGAGAATTAACGTGGGGTTTGCAATGCTTTATGTGATAGGCTCTAGACAATAAATGTGTGGAGAATAGACAAAATCATCCGACGACACAAAAACCATTGGACTTATCTATGCGACCATCTGAAAAATCCTCCTTAGCAAGAATCGAGTGGAGAATTTTAGCAGGATTTTGGTGCCAGATTGCTATGGCACTGGTGGGCCCATTGTGGACTTTGGCTCCACCTTCACATTCACGAAGAGGCCCAAGAACTTTTACAAAAGAGAGACAGGGGAACAAGATGACTGGGGGAGGGAATATGTCAGAGACCAAAAGTCCTCACTTTTGAGAACACAAACCAAAACCCAAAACTTTGAGAGGACCTAAACTAAAATTTGGTATATTTATTGAAAGATACTAGACACGTGGGAAAGGTGGGTGGGTTGGTCACAAGACTAAAAAAATAGCACATAATTGATATTTTTAAAACTTTATTACTATCAATATTAGCATAGCTTAGATACTTTAAATACATTTACTGTGTTGTAGTAGATTACTCTTGCTACTGCTGTCATAGTAGATTATTTCCCTTCACTACTCAGTTAGTTTGTTTCTCTTTCTGTTACTTAATCAGTTAGATTGCTGACTCATCAATGACTCAGATTTCTATGCAATTCCTTTTCTCTCAACTCTTTCTCTCACTTTCTTGCATTTTCTTGAGTTTTCCTACAATGGAGCTATTTTAATATGGTATCAGAGCCCTCTCACAGGGCCTGATCCATACACTATCCCCTAAACCATGTCTTCTGCATCCAATTCCGATTCAAAAGCAGCTCAGCCAATCTTTTTTGGAATCAAATTGTAGATCCAATCATAACTTCTCACCAGCTTCAAAGATTCCTTGTGAATCCAAAAATTCCTTTGAAGTATGATTCAGAGGAAGATCGTGAAAATGATGTACTGAGCATGGCTTATACAGACTGGATAACGCAAGATCAAATGTTATTGACGTGGTTGCTGTCCACTATCTCGGAACAGGTAGTTAATGATATTCTTCCTGTTAAGCATTCATTTGAAGCTTGTGAGAATGTTCACAAACTCTTTCATGGAGTTATGAAATCTCGAGCTAGACAACTCAGATCCGAGTTAAAGACGATGAAGAAAGGAACAAAGAGCGCAAAAGAATATTTGACCAGAATCAAAACGATCTGTGATTCCTTGAAGTCTATTGGAAGCCCTGTCACAATTGAAGAACACAGAAACGATTCTTGAAGGACTTTCATCTGAATACACTCCTTTTGTAATGATGGTACATGGTAGAGACAAAGCATACTCCGTTGAAGACATTGGAGTTGAGCTAATGAGTCATGAACAACTTTTAATTAAACAAAACGAATAGTTGTTGGCTGAAGGACCTCAGATAAACCTGACCCAACCAAGGTAGTCAAGATCGCGATTTTACTTAAGATCGGAAGGGAGTGGCAAGATCGTAAATCGTGGGATCGGCACGGATCGTAAAAATCTTACTTTTTTAATTTTAGTAATAATAAAAAATATTTATGCATATAAAATAATATTTAACTCACAACTTGATTCATAAAAGATAATTCAATCTTCAAATAAAAATATATAGCATTCAAAATAACATTAAATTCACAACTTGAGTCCTAAAAGACAATTCAAAGAAAACTTCAAAGCATTCAAAACATAATCATCATCTAGCATGGCATTTTTCAATTGCCAAACCACCACAAACTTAATGGACAGAACAGAAATACAGAGCAAAAAAAAGTAATAATAATAATTTTATTAGAAAAAAAATAAAAGAGAAGATGAAAAACAAAATAGGAATTTAACAAACAAAAATAAAAATGAATAAAAACAAACAGCCACACAAACAGAAAATGCAGTAATAATACACTAATAAGTAATAATAATAGCAAATAAAAAATAACAGTGAATCAAAAAAATTAAGAGAATTAAAGAAACATGGAATAACAGTGAATAAACTTTGAAATAAAACAAATAAGAAAGAAAATAATAGATAAAAAACACATAAAGTTCATAGCGAAAAAAAAATTGAAGCAAATAAAAGAAACCAGCATAGGCTCACCAAAGAATAATAGATAAAAAAACATAAAAAGTTAAGAGAAAAAAAAAAAAAAAAAAGCAAATAAAAAAGGGTTATTTACTTATTACTGACAGCGAATAAAAGAGCAAAACAAAGACCCAGACAGTGAAAGTGAAACAGCTTACAAAAAAGAACCTGGAGCTGTTGGGTTGAGCGAAAGTGAAACAGAAAAAAAACGGCGAAAGTGTTGTCTCTCTCGATCTGTTTTTTGAGCTGAGGAGGAGCTGTTTGTAACTTTGGCATGTATTAGGGCTTTGTAAATGGGCCGTTGGGTCTTTTATTTGTCAAAACCCATTTCAGAAGTTGGGTCAAGTGGGTCAAAAACCGGGTAAACGGATTTATTGAATCGGGTCAAAAAAATTTGCAAGATCGACGATCTCAAATGATCTTACGATTTTATGAGTTTCCCCAACGATTTTGATCGATCTTGCTCAAATACGATCCTGGATCCGATTCAGATCGTTTTTTGCTGAAAAAATTGTAAAATCGGAGATTTTGCGATTTAAATCGCGATTTTGACTACCACGGACCCAACGCGTTCAGGTCTCACAGAAGCCTAGTTCAAATGAAGAAGATGACTGTTTCTGAAACCAGAAAACAGAGTCGAACAGAGCAAGCAAATTTTCAACAATATAACACCTTCCATAGCCAGAACAAAGGGAGAGGCAAATCTGGCATGACTAATTGTGGAAGAGGATGAGGTAACAGAACAAATGTTCATTGCCAACTCTGCTACAAATTTGGCCATGATGTGAGAGATTGTTGGCATAGGTTTGAAGAAAATTTCATTCCAAACCTACCTCCACCACAAAATACAACATTTCCACATTTCTTCGTTCAACAACAGCCTCAAGCAACAAGGACTTTCCAATATGTCAGACCACAGAACCAGCCTCAAGCCTATATTACTTCTTCATCCAACCTGCCATCAACATCTAACTCTGCTCCTATGGTTGAATGGCTACATGACTCTGGAGCATCGAGTCATGTGACTGGAATCTTCAAAACATCATCCAAGGCCAACAACTGAGTGGTACAGACCATGTTCTAATACGAAATGGTCAAGGTTTGCCTATCACTACCATTGGTTCCTCATCCTTTCTCTCTCCTTTTGATTCTAATACGGAATCTTCTTCCTCATCCTTAAAAACTTGCTATTAGTTCCTTCAATCACTAAGAATATGATTAGTGTTAGCAAATTTTCTAACGACAACTCATTTTTCTTTGAGTTTCACCCTGATGTTTGTTTTGTAAAATGTCAGGATTCACATAAAACTCTTCTTCAAGGTGTTGTTGGAAATGATGGACTCTACTACTTTCCAGATCTGAAACTCCTCAAAGATCATTCCTCTTTAACAAATAATACTTGTAACAAAGACTCTGCCAATGTAGTCAATCACAATGTTAATACTAGTACTCAATGTCCTAGTGTTGTAGTTGTTGATACTCATAGTAGTGATTGTAATTCTTCCGGTTCTTTGTATTCTCTGTGGCACTGTCGTTTGGAACACCCACATTTTGATTCTCTCAAAAGTATAGTCAAGTCTTTTAATATAAACATCAGCAATAAAATAAGAGAATTCTGTTCTTCTTGTTGCGCCAAATCTCACAGACTACATGCTCCACCTTCAAATCAGTATATGCTGAACCATTTACTCTAGTTTACACTTTACAGTAACGTGTGGGGTCCTTCACCATTAAAATCCACCCTTGGTAACCTGTACTATATCTCTTTTGTTGATGCACATACTCGTTATACATGGCTCTATCCAATAAGTTAAAAATCAGATGCCATAACCATCTTTAAACAGTTCCATAACATGATCACAAACCAGTTCCAACTACCCCTCAAAGCTATACAAACAGACTGGGGTGGCGAATATAGGATCTTTACTCAATACTTGAACTTACATGGTATAACACATCGTGTCACTTGTCCTCACACACACCATCAAAATGGTGTAATTGAGAGAAAGCACTGTCATATTGTTGAAACTGACCTGTCACTCTTGGCTCAATCATCCCTTCCAATGCAATATTGGGACTATGCATTTACTACTGCATCTTACCTCATAAACAGGCTTCCTTCATCAGCCATTAATTTTGAGAATCCTCACACTAAATTGTACAAACACCAGCTTGATTACAACCTTCTCAAAAAATTTGGTTGTGCATGCCTCCCTTTTTTCAGGCCATACAATAAAAATAAATTAGAGTTCAGATCAAAAGAATGTATCTTTCTTGGTTATTCACCAAATCATAAGGGATATCTTTGTTTGAGTCCAGATGGTAGGGTATTCATATCCAAAGATGTGTTGATTAACGAATATAGGTTTCCCTTCAAAGAATGGCATGACAACAAGTCCCATCCTAATACTCTGTTTACCTCCCAAATGTCCATGTCTATGTCTGTGCCTATATCAGTGTTACCTCAATCTGTTTCCTCATCAGATCACAACATTACTCCTAATAATCCTATAACTGCTATATCTCCTACAACAACTCATAGTCCTCAGCATGTCACCAGTCCTTTACCAACTCCACATGATCTGTCTCCAACAAACTCTCCCACTGATCCTCCTTCACACAGTTCTAATAACTCAATGCCAACAAATAGTGCTCCACAGCCTTCTAGTACCTCAAATTCTGCAACACAACATTCTCCTACAACTGATTTGTCTTCATTTGTCTCTCAGTCCTCTCCATCATCAGTTCAATACTCCAACAGCCCTAGTTCTAGCTCTAGTGCAGAGTCATCTCATTCTGAATATACTCCATCAGGTTCCTTGAGTTCTCCTTCACCACCCACTCCATTGCCACAAGGTCTAAAACCTTGGCTAGAAATCTGGTTCTACTTACCCACACTGAGCCTACCGCTGTCAAGCAAGCCTTGGCCAGCCCTCAATGGCTCCAGGCAATGGAATCTGAATATAATGCTTTGCAAACTAATAAAACTTAGTCTCTTGTTTCCTTACCACTCGGCAGGAAAGCTATTGGGTGTAAATGGGTGTTTAAGGTGAAAGAAAACCCAGATGGCAGTATCAACAACTAGAAGGCAAGATTGGTAGCAAAGAGATTTCATCGAAGGCCAGGTTTTGATTATAATGAAACTTTTTCCCCGGTTGTAAAACTTGTTACTGTTCGGGCTGTACTCACTATTGCTCTCACCTATGGTTGGTCTCTAAGACAACTTGATATTAACAATGCTTTCCTAAATGGGGACCTAGAGGAAGAAGTATATATGATCCAGCCACCTGGTTTTGAATCTGGAGATAAGTCCCTAGTCTGTAAATTAAACACACTATATGGCCTTAAACAGGCCCCAAGGGCCTAGTTTAATAAACTCAAAGAATATGTCTTGTCTTTTGGTTTTCAAGCTAGTACGTGTGATCCTTCTTTGTTCATCTACAAGACTGGACACATGAGATTGCACATGCTTGAGTATGTAGATGATATCATCATTACTGGCAATAATGCCACTTTCGTTCAGATTTTTATTTCACAACTCAATTCTACTTTTGCACTAAAGGATCTAGGAAACTTGGACTACGTTCTAGGGATTAAAGTCAAGAAAATCTCCTCTGGCTCCTTGTTGCTTAGTCAGTCAAAATATATCAGAGACCTTCTCTCTCGGGTTAATATGCTTGAAGCCAAGCCCATTTCAACTCCTATGCCTTCAGGAGCAAATTATCGAGATTTGGTAGTAACATTTTTGAAGATCCGCATTTGTATAGATCAGTGGTGGGAGTGGTGGGAGCACTGCAGTATGCAACCATAACAAGGCCAGAAATTGCCTTCCCTATCAATAAGGTATGTCAGTTCATGAGCCAACCTTTGGTGGATCATTGGAAGGCAGTCAAACGCATCTTGAGGTATCTTCAACGCACCGTAACTTTTGGACTTCATTTCCAACCAGTCACATCAGCTTCTCGCTCCTTTCCCCCCACTGCCTTTTGTGATGCTGATTGGGGGAGTGACCCTGATGATAGGAGGTCCACTTCAAGTGCTGGCGTCTTTCTTGGACCAAATTTGATCTCTTGGTGGTCAAAGAATCAATCCTTGTGGCTAGGTCTATAGCAGAAGCAGAATACAGGAGCATGGCCCTTGTATGTGCTAAGATACTATGGATTAAGTCTGTATTTCAGGAGCTGCAGCTGTCCTTATCTGTTCCACAGATTCTTTGTGACAATCTAAGTGTTGTTGCTATAGCACATAATCCCATTCTTCATGCTCGAACCAAACACCTTGAGTTAGACTTGCACTTTCTCCGTGAAAGAGTTGTTGCCAAAGATATCTTGGTTTCTCACATTCCTGCAACAAAACAACTAGCTGGTACATTTACAAAGCATCTGCCTCTTGTGCCCTTCACTGACTTTCGCACAAAGCTCAGAGTTTTGGACTCAGCCTGCCTTGTCCAACCCTGCTAAGCTTGAGGGGGAGTATTAGCGTAGCTTAGTTAGTTTAAATTTATTTACTACGTTGTGGTAGATTACTCTTGCTACTGTTTTCATAGCAGATTATTTACCTTCACTACTCAGTTAGTTTGTTTCTCTTTTTGTTGCTTAATCAGTTAGATTGTTGACTCATCAAAGAGCCAGCCTTAGCTCTATATATAGAGCTAGTCTTCCTTTACACAGTGTATTACTCATTCTCTCAGATTCATGAATAAAATGATTTCTCTGCAATTCCTTTTCTCTCAACTCTTTCTCTCATTTTCTTTAATTTTCTTGAGTTTTCCTACAATGGAGCTATTTTAATCATCAGTAAACAACAAGAGTCCATTAGAAAAAAAAAACTTAAATAGCAACAAGTCTAACAAGCATAACCATATACAAAAGTACAGGACCAAATTATAGATGCTGTATGAGAAATGGTGGATGGATCATGAGTGAGGCTGGTTGAATGCAAAGCAGAGATGGGTCATCAGTCATGGATGAAAAATGTTGGCTGTATTGAAGATGTGAAGATGAAAAGTGTAAAGAGAGACCTAGAAATCCAAGGCCCCCTCCAAGGATGAAGTCTTTCATTCCTCTTTTGTCAATTCTGAGGTTCTGGGAGAAGTATAGATGGGTACCAAATTATGCAGCTGCCTCCCTTATTTCTTAGCCTTTTTATGGTGCTAAGCTTAGCTATTGCTATTTCAGAGGGGTTTATTTGACAGGCAAGCTTTGGTTAGTCAAATGTGCTTCCTCTGTTATGGCATTTCTTTCTTTTTCTTTATGAATATTAAGAAAATAAAAGAAAAAGAAAAACAGGGGAATTCACTTTACTCAAATTCAAATTCAAACTGAATTTGCAAGGAAAATGTCGGTTATTGCTGAAATTTGTTCACCATCAACTTACTCGTCTTTGTACTGCTGAATTTCACCTTCAGGAAAATCTCCAGACAGGAAAAGGTCAAGAACAGGTATTGACGGAGGATCAGTCTGCTCAAGGAGTTCTTTCTTTTTCCTGACCACACAACGATAAAATCATAACTTCAGAAAAAAATTCACAATTAGGAGAATAATCATTATGTTATAACTTATAAGAAGTCCTCACTTGCTTTTGGCTTTCTTCTTTTTCTTCTTTGAAACTTCTGTCAAAAGAGCAAAATGCATTCAAATTTAACCAACAATATAGCAGGTATATAATAGTAATACTACTTGCCCAGAATAAATAGTTAAAAAATAAAACATCACAAATTCACAGACACTGATTATAACAGCATCACTAAAGCGGTTTAATGTTCCTAAATAGAAAAATGGTTATACGAGATGATGTGGATAATTACTAGTGATCCTATTTTAGAAAAAAGAGAGAAGCAAGGAAAACACAAGCTTGGGGAGTATGGTTGTTAAAATCTCGATTTATCATTACGATTTTATGTTTTTACGATTTTTTTTTTTATCAAAACGATTTTATCAATATTCCAAATGCTTTTACGATTTTACGATTTTTTTACATTACGATTTTACATTTTACGATTTTTTAATCCCCTTCCGATTTTACTTAAAATCTCAATTTTAACAACATTGTTGGGGAGCATAAAGTATTGGTCAAAAGAGAAAATCCCAAAACAATGAACATGAAAAAAATGCAGCAAGGATGCTTCATCTCGCTGCACGTTAGAAATAGCAACCACCTTCAAATAGTCCAGAGCAAAACACCAAAGAGAAGCCACAAGCATAATCCTAGCCCATCACATGTTTAGGAACAAGACACACTTGAATATGCAGGCAATTCAGTTTCAAGCGATGGACCATAGAATAGCAAAAAAGAACACCATGCTTATCTTGGTCTCCTTTTTCTTGATGAAATGAAACCTTAAGATTGTGTCATTAGAAACTGCTCCAATGCATAAGGACACACCCAGTAATTTGCAAGAACTTCAAATAACTTATTCCATAAGAAAGTAGCCACCTAAAAATCCAAACATATATAGGCACCTATTTTTACAATTACATATACCATATGCGTGAGGAGAATAGCTGTGAGAGGTATTTAGGCAATATGTAATTTGAATTGATCATTTTTAGTAATGCAATCGAGTTTATCTTTCAAAATGGGCTTACCAAGAAGGGATCTGTTACGATCCATTTGCAAGGTATGAAGTGTGAGGTTTATATGGACTTTGGACTCTCCTACCTTACAAGCTAGATTTGGGGTGAGGTTCTCCCAAGGTTCACATCATTTGGTATTAGAGCTTTCCACTATGTCTCCCAGTTACGATCGAGCAACACGACTGGTGAGACTGGCATTGTAGTGTTTGCCCAAGGCTAGTAAAAAGTTAGCACCAAGCCAGGCTACGTGGGCGCCGGGACTATGAAGCGTGGTGGGATGTTAAGATTCAAATGCAAAGTATGGGGCTTGGAGTCCCACATTGGAAACACAAGGTTTTGATGTGGGGTTTATATAGACTTTGGGCTCTCCTACCTTACGAGCTAGCTTCAGGGATGAGGCTCTCCCAAAGTCCGTTTTAGGATCAGTTCCCAATTAGGACAATATCTCAAAGTGGCTCAAAGGTATGAGAAGATCATAAGGAAATTATTTTGGTCTAATTGGGGTGATTAGAAAAAGACCATATTTTTTATAAGGAGCCAAGCTGGATTTTGGGAATTTTGTTTCCAAAAACATTGCTCGAGTGGCTAAATAGCTATGTTCCTTTCCTTTATAATATACTTATTTTGGAACAAATATGGGTTAAACCAAAATGGATACAAGAAAAGCTAGCAACACACTGACACTCGTTTTTCAACGCTCTATTATAAAGTGTTAGCCCCACTAAATAACTTACCCACTCTCTATTAGTGGGGCTAGCATGGGATTTCACCTACTCTTTTTTTTTGATAAAAAAATTATTTATTCTCTAAAAAATTAGCATCAACATGTCCGAATAATAGGCTACAAGAAATATTAGTGTTGCATAAATTCATAATTGCATTCAATCTTAACCAACCCTCATGATCTGCTCCAAGAATAAACCATCCATATACTTTTGTTCACGATCTCATATACTAATAAGATAATGTAGTTTATTACTTCAAGCCTTTACCATTTAAATATAAGTTAGCACATTAAGTCCATATATATTTCTCTTTGATAACACGAGGGGACAATTAGGAAAAAAAAGTGAAAGAGCTACAAGAAATTGTGGTATGTTTTCTAAGTCCCACTTGCCATAGGATATAAGAGGAATTGTAGCATGTTTAGAAAATGATTATTTTGGGGAAATATTCACTTTTTTAAAAAGCAATCTTAGAAAGCTTTTTGGTTAAAAGAATCATGGTCAACAAAATAATCAAATCCGAATACGCTCTTCAGTGCCAATTCACTCAAATAAGTTGGGGATTCAAAGCTCCAACAAAAAAGCCTTAATCCAATATTTAAAGCATGTTGGGTTTTGATTATATATATAGACGTGTGTGTATGTGTGTGTGTCGCGTGTAAGATTATTTGATTTAAGCTATAACCTTACAGAACAAAATCTACGAACATTCAATTGAAATTTTACAAAAATGCTACATTTGAAAAAAGGAATTATAACTAATTAGGAGGCAGCTGCAAGAGATAAATCCTAATACTGGAGAAAAATGCACTTTCCTTTTCCAAGCAAAAGAGAATATTTGTATTGTTGGATTTTGCTATTTAGAATATCTAGCAAAAGGACAAGTGAAAAGGAAACATAGGGGAAAAAGAAAAATTGAGTTTACTTACAAAAGAAATGAAAAGGGACTGATATACTTCTTCTCAACAATAGTTCTTTGCTCACCAATTATGACCATGTCAAATGGCAATTTAGTATTTATATTGGCTAAATTCATTTGCACATAATACATTCCATTAAGCTGTAATGGACATATGCATAACATAATTATTACCTTTACTGTCATCTCCCTCTATTTGTGATGGTGGGGAAAGCTCAGCGGTCCCTTCTAGACAACTTGGAGATTCTGAAGCTCCATTTTCTTCCAGCAGAGCGTTTGAATGAGAATTTCCCTCTGCCATGAAAGAAGACCTGCATGCATGATAAAATTACAAAGTGTTCGTTTACAAACAACCCAAAGTAAAATAATCACAGAAAGAATAGTTCATCCAGGGGGACGCATGGTATTGTTTGATGGGGATCATGGCCTTTCATACTTTCTCTTTTACATGTAATAAGTAATGGTATTGATATAGATTATACGTTGAATTGCTGACACATTAATTATATTTTAACTAATAATGGTCTTCCTTGCATTTCACATCACATGCTCATTCAATTTCATAATCTTTCCCACCTAATCACATAAAGAGAGAAAGCATCAATCATTTGTAGAGGATGATAGAACAGTAGAAGAATTCAAAAAACGTAAAGTGCCTCCACTTTATAACAGAATAATGCAACAGTGCAACATAATCATAAAAGTTCTATTAATTTTGACCCACAGCTCTGCTATTCATCCACTATTCCCTTTAACAGTTCAACAATTTATAGTTCTATTTTTCTTCAATTAATTCCGTAAACAATTTGCACTTAAGCCCCCAACAAAGTCCTTCTACCTCCGCCCTGAGCCCTAAACCCCTAAAAAGAAAAAAGAAAAACATCTCAGGTAAGTCAATATTAGATTCAAAATTGCAAAGTGGTAAACTACTGCTCGATATTTTCTCAGTAGGAGCAGATGGTAGCATGATCACATGGGTAAGACGGCGAAACATAGCATAAAACATAAAATATTACCCAGCTGATATGCACAGTGACTTTGCTGTATTCTGACGAGAAAGGGGATGAGTAATACTTGGTCACTTGGCGAGAGACAGCGTGGTAGCTGACCTGTCGAACCGAAGGATGAAATTTCACAAAGAAGCACTTCAGGACCAGACAGAGCGAGAGGAGAAAAGAAGGCGAGCAAGGGCAAAGGAGCCCACGACCACGCGAGGCTGTCACTCCGGCTCGAGCGGCGATAGGCACCCGACAGCGTCAGAACTCAATACAAACTCAACCTAACAAAGATTGAATCTGGGTTAGCTGTCTAGGGCACGGAAAAGGATGTAACATGGGCACTTGAGTTGGGCTGGGCTGGTCGCAAAATTTGGGTTGCTAAAGAGTCTCGTGAATTCGGCTTGTTCGAATTCTGTTTTTTAAAATATTTTTTTTCAGAAAAAAAATATAAAAAAATTATTTTATAAAGTCTATATTGTAAAAATAGTTCTAAAAGATATAATTATTTTTTAGTTTTGAAAATCAAAATTAAAGAATATGCCAAGGTTATTTTTATTTTTTGTTTTGATTTTTAACTTTAAAAATAAAAAAAACATAAAATATATATTTCATTAACTATTCTACAAAACAATTTTAAGAAAAAAAATAAAAACCAATCAAACAGGACTCTTATTTTTAGTTTCTCTTCTCCTTGTAAATAAAAGTTTAGCCAAACATATTTTTATAAAAACTCTTATAATCAAAAGAGCTTTTTATTGTAATGAATAAAAAAATAAAAGTTAAAAGCTCCCAAGAGAAGTTTTTTTTTAAAAAAAAAAATATATACTACTTTTTTAGAGTTTTCATATTTATTTTTTTAGTTTCATTCTTATTCTAAATTTGTATTTACCAATTTTATTCTTTACTCTAATAATCCATCTTAATAACAAAGTATTTCATCTTTCATCCTTCAAAATTCCCGAAACAACTTTATATAATCACAAAAGAGCCATCCTATATGGTGCTTTTGATATCGGAGCAGTACCGGGCATAAGATCGACAGCAAACTCTACTTCTCTAATAGGTGGCATACCAGGAATCTCTTCGGGAAAAACATCTGCATACTCTTTGACCACGGGTATTTGTTCAATCTTCTCCTCGAGAGTTAAGTCGTGTACGTTGCACAAATAAACTGGGTGTCCCTTTATAAGTAAACTCTTAATAGTCATAGCAGAGACTATTTGAATGGAAGGTTTGGGTACAACACCTTTATAAGAGAGGTACTTCCCCTTTGGTCCCTTAAAAGATATCTTTTGCTCCCTACAATCTAGCTTAGCCCTATACTTGCTAAGCCAATCCATTCCCAAAATAACATCGAAATCCGCCAAGTCAAACTGGACTAGATCAGCTGGTAGCTCAGAACCAGCTATACTAATCAGGATATTTTCATAAACATTGGAGCAAGAGACAACAGCTCCAGAGGGTAAAGTAACATTGGTTGAGAAGGTAGAAGATGGTACCATTCTCGTTTTCTCCACAAAAGAGGATGAAATAAAGGAGAGTGATGCACCAGTGTCAAACAATATATAAGCAGGTACAGACTGCAGTAAGAAAGTACCTGTAATAACATCTGGGTTTGCCGCAGCCTCAGTGTGATTCATGACATAGATCCTTCCTTGACTCCCTGTGGTTTGATTAATAGCAGCATTCTGACCTGTCGCTCGATCTGCTATAGCTCCATTGTTGGGATTTCCAATAGTGGCATATTGCCGATTTCCTCCATTTCCATTTTGAAAGTTCTGCCGGTAGCGGGGCTGATTGTCATTGTTCCTACCCCCTTGGTTGTTGTTCCCATTTCGTCCTCCATCTGGCTTTGGTTGTCCTCCTTGAGAGCCTGATTGCTGATTGAATCCCCTGGCAGTACACTGGTGAGCCTTGTGCCCCTTGCCACCACACTGAAAACAAGTTATAATTTCTCCATTGCACCTCTTCCCAGGGTGTGCCTGCTTGCCGCATACTTTACAAGAGTATGGTTTTGTTCCTTGAACTTGGATCTTGAGTTGATTCTCGCCATAATTACCTCTGTCAGCATACTTCTGTCCCAGTGGTTGTTTGTCACTCCAGTTATTTCCCCTGTTATCATAACGAGGCTTCTTATCACCGCTAACTTGTTGAGGACCACTGCCAAATTGCTTTCTCTTGTTCCTCTCCATGACTTCCTCTTCAGTTTGTAAGATATCAAAAATGTTCAAAGCTCGTTCATAAGCTTCCTGGAAGGTCTGTGATGGTATACCTCCCAAGGACTTCTGAATTTTGAATGTCAGCCCTTTTTCATACTTACGTGCCCTGTCCCTCTCCGTAGGAATAAGATTTGAAGCAAAACGTGATAGCTCAATGAACTTGTCAGTGTACTCCTGCACTGTCATCTTTCCTGCCATCCTGAACCTTGCAAACTCTTCCTGTTTCTGCCACTTAATTGCGTCAGGGTAGAATCTATTGCAGACTCGTTCCTTGAAAATCTCCCAGTTAAATCCTTCTTCAGCTATGTAGCCCGTCTTCACCGTGGACCACCAACTATCCGCCTCCTCTTTCAGATAAAATGAGCCAATGCTAATCTTCATGTTCTCGGGACAATTTGTCACTTCATACAGCTTTTCCATGTCGCGAATCCAATTTTCAAGAGCAACTGGATCGATAGTCCCTTTGTAAGTGGGTGGATGATGAGATGCCACTCTCTTAAAAATGGTATTCTCGGCATTAGCCTGATGGGCGTTTTGTTGTCCAAGTGCTAATGCAAGATCTTCAATAGCCCTCAGACGTCGGTCCATTTCTTCTGCAATAACGTTGTTTGCAGCCATTCTAGTGTTACGACGGGTATAGTACCTGATCGTATGTTTTTTTAAAATTCTAAGTGTTTGAATTTGTTCTCATAGTCAACTCTAACTATCACTTTCCTCATCTCATATATTTGTATTATGTATCAGATAATGCAATTTAAATTCAAACAATAAACCAATTTATTTAAATAAATAAATAATAAGAATTTCATTATTCATCATTACTCAAAGAAAGAAAAAAAAAATTACATCTAGAAGAAACCCTTTTAGCCTATAGAAAATTCTATTCATTTGCTAAAATAAAATTTACTAGTCAATAAATCACATAACAAGTCACAAAATAATTCCAAACATGCAATTATTAGAATTTCAAGTAAATCTTATTTAAAGGACAAGAAAATAACCCTTCACTACCCATCTCTCACGTTTAATTTTTTTATTTTATTTCAATTTATTTTATTATTTATGTTCTTATTTATTTATTTAACTCTGGGATCTTTGATCCCTTGAGTTAGTATCAAAAGTGAACCCAAGTTAAACTCAGGGCTCTGATACCATTTTGTAACACCCCAAATTCTAACAATTGATAATAGCATAAATAATTTCAATAATTTTTGTAAATAACAGCGGAAGTTCAAAATAATCAAATTTGGAAAGTGTTACTGCCGCACTTGTACTATGGACAGGTGCAAGGCTAAATTTATTACATTAAAAATAAAACCAAAGACTAAAGTTTAAATAAAGGAAATATGTCTTATGCATTTATTTAAATCTCATAAAATTTCTAAACTTAGAAACTAGCTAGAAATATAATATCCGAGTCGTGATCCTCGCTGCCCACAGCTAGCCCCATCCTTTGCAACATGCTTCACTGAAAATCTGCTCCCCGTGAAGGATCATTGCAGTTAAACAAACACAAAAGTCAGCAAAGCTGGTAATCCAAATCTGATATACAAAAATAAATAAATAAACAAAAAGAATGTAACTCATGATAATCCAATAAAATAATATAACTCAAAAATTCGAATCAAATGTCAAATTGTTATTAATTATATTAATATTTATTTAATCCATTTAGTCTATTTAGTGGGAAGAGAACCATGGTAGACTCGGGGAACCCTGCCAGTCTACCCTGTGACCCGGGAAACCCTGCCAGTCACAAACAAATCACTTTGGCCATAATCAATTCACATCTTCCTAGTGTGCACACCTCTTCCCAAAGTTGCTACTAGTATCCCGGGGAACCCTGCCAGACACCACTTTGGGAAGAACGGATATAATCATTTTCACATCAGTTTCACATCGGAGGCATAAAGCCCAAAAGTTGTGTTCATCACTTTGGGAGGTACCATCCCAAAGCTATCCTCCCACTATTAATTTTTTTTTTTATACAAACATAACAAAATTCCTCAATTTATTTCAAATATATGTAATATCTATTTTCTGCAACTAACAATTAATTTCTAATTTATCAAAACATATATATATATTTTAGTGCCTCAATTTATAAAATAAAGCACAGGATTCAAAAGAAACAATTGTAACTAACAACATATACTGAAAGCATGTATTTGAAATAGGTTGATCACGTAAACCGAGAAAAATATCATTGCAAATATATGCATATAAGCAAAAGTGAAGGACATATTAATTTGCAAATTGAAAGAAACCGATCAGGCATCTAATTTAATGGAAAGTGACGCACAAAAATCGAGAAGGAGAGTTTTGTTTTATGAACAATGTTTACATATATAAAAGCAACAACAATTTGAATTCAATTTAAAGAATTGCACAGAAACCGAAAGAAATTTGCAGCGAGGTGTATACATGCAGTTCCAAGTTCGGCAGAAGCAAATTGAGAAAACATTTAGCAGATAGTAATTATTAACAAAATCGAATTTATAAGGAACGTAATTATATATACAGGTCAACACAATTATCTGGGATTAGGATTACATGCAATATATTCCATATAAGATAGCCCTATGATATATTTAGGATCATAATTATCCTATCAAAATTCATATAAAATTAACATAACACTTCTAAGGATTAGGATTACACATACCAAATTTGACATAAAATATAATCTAAAAATACCTAGGGATTAGGATTACCTGGTCTCCGTTTTCGCTAACTTTTAGAAGAAAAGAGTAATTTGGGGCAGAGAACCGGTTGATAAAAAAATATAAAGATTGAAAATAATTAAAATAAACTTTTTGGAGTGAGAAGAGAAAAAAAGTAGTAGAGGAGAGTGAATTGGTTTGGTTAGGCTAGGTCTCTATTTATAGTTGAAGTTTACGGCTTATACATTACTGACTCAATGCTGACTCATCATATCTAAACAATTTATGTTTGTTGAGTCATCATATCTAAACAATTTATGTTTGTTGAGTCATCCTAATCCAATCAAACATTAGCAATCAAATAATCAAACATTAAAGCAAAATGATCAATCAAATAATAACAA